GTTTGATCTCGACTCGATGTGGCAGGTACAGGGAGAAGTTGAGTGAATAATAATAATAATAATAATCCTTGCAGTTGATACAGTCGCATCATTGAGACATCTCAAAGCGCTTCACAGAACAAATTGTAGTAAAATGGATTGACTGTATAAGCTGTGGGCAGCCAACTTAGTGAATGAACGAATGAACGAATGGTACGGAGGCAGAAGATCTTTATCCGCACTTCTTACCCATATCCAGCAAAGTGTGGGGGGGTGGGTGGGCGAGGACTTCAATAGCTATGACCTCAACCAAGCCATCGAGGACACAGGATCTCTGTGCGCGCGTGTATGTGGATTTCCTGAGAACCAGGAGCACTGGGAAGAGAGCAACCTATGACCCCTTACTTCCTGAGGCCACAAATTGGTTTATTTATTTGACAAATGACCGCCCGGGTCATGTGTGTGATGTGTACCATATGCTGGGTGGGGGGGAGGAGTGGGGAAGGAATGGGGTGCAGAAGAAATGTCCAAAAGGTAATGGAAAGCTAAAAGCAGAAGCAATTGGAACGTAGAATTTTACTACTCAGCTTTGAGACTGTTGTAATAATATAAGAAGAACCGGTGCTTTTGATATCGCGCCTCATCACGTCGTTGAGACGTCTCGGAAGAGCTTCACAGGATTTTACTGCGTGCTTTGTGGGCGATACGTGTCCGTGGTACCCAGTGCGTAATAATAATAATCCTTGCATTTGATTCAGTGCCTCATCACGTCATTCAGGCGACTCAAAGCGCTTCGCAGAATATACTGTAACGTGGATTGACTGTGTATTTTGTGGGCGAAACACGGCAGCCAATTGTCCCACAAACAGTCGTGGATTGAGTGACCGCATTTATTTAAGAGGGGTTATTACCCCTGGAAGGTGATCCGCCAATGTAGGTTCCTACTTACTGCCAGGTAAACAGGCGTGTGTGTGGAGTTGGAAAACTTGCTTAAGGTTTCACCCAGCCCGGAAACCCAACCCCTCCCCTACGGGAATCTTGTCCTGTACCCCAAACCTCTGACCCTCTGATGAGCCGGACGCAGCACATCACAGATTAACAGGCATAAATTTTGCTGCGCCAGCCAACGCCATGCCTTAATAACTCCAGGTCAAGGGCAACATCACAAGCAATGACTTCCAGGTTAAAGAAATAAACTGCTGCAGACCCCCCGTGGCCCTGGGTGATTGATAGAGGACGTTCCCTTGAAAAATAAATGTAGGGATGGCGCCAGCCTGCACGTGGAACTGATTGCCGTGTCACACAGTATTCCTGGGAGGACGGGTTTGCCGATGGCTTGAGTGGGGACCTCTTTGTGGGTGAACAAACAGCTCCGTAACCAACCCCTCCCCCCCCCCCCCCACCCACTAATATTTTAAGAGCACAGCGTTGTAAACCTACATATTCTTCCAGCGTGGGTTCATTTGTAAACTCGTACTCCAGGCTTTCCTTCCGGTGGGTGTGGGGTGGGGGAATTGGGGGGGGAGATGAGGTGGGGGGGGGGGGAGAGAGGAAGAGGGGAGCATTGCGTTGTTAGATATTGAACCGAGCTTTTGACTGCCCGGTTCGGATGGACCTTAAAGATCGTCTGAGCGCCTCAACTCAGTAAAGAGCTGGGAGCTTCTCCGGGTTTCCTGACCCCAATGATTAATAATAAAAATAATTTGGTCACTTCAATCCACAACTGGGATGCTGCTGTGCGCAAATGGCTGTCTCGTCTCGCCCACAAAATATACAGTCAATCCACTTTACGATATACTCCGTGAAGCGCTTGCAGACAGCTCAACGACGTGATTAGGCGCTATATAAGATGCAAGGATTATTATTATGTTGTTAGAACTCCCCCTCCCCCCCTGTAAGATTGGCCATTCAACTTCTGCTGCAGTTAGAGATGCAGTTCATCCAATCTCCACCGCAGTGAGACTGTGTCTGTTCTGTTACTGTGTTCTCAGTTCAAAGAGCCTTCATGATTTGCGAAAGAGAGAGAGAGTTCCTGATCGTTTGCAGGCTTTATACGTTCATGAGCAGATGCATCTGGCTGTGGGTTAGGTCTCGGTCGACTGGTGTTGGTAATTCTTCCTGTATATCACTCAGCAAACACTAAGTATGTTATTCCCTCATGTGCTGTGTGAAGGCTCGGGCCAAACACGACTGCTTTGAATTAACTCGTCGGGATGGCCCCACTCCGAGATGTATACACCCCGTTTATTGCTGTCTTTCTCTTTGTTCAAGTATTACCCTAAAAACAGTCTGTACGTTCCTGTGATTTATTTTATGGGCTGCGTGTTTCGCCCACAAAATGTACAGTCGATCCACTTTACATTAGATCGTATTCTGTCAAGCGTTTTGAGAAGTCTCGAAGATCTGATCAGGCTCTACATCAAAATCAAAGGATTGTTATCTATTATTATTTTATATTAACGGGTCGAGGTTTAGGGATACGCTTTACGCCGTGAAAACAGCAACACATTGCGAGACCGGGTGTCTTGAGTCCCAGTTTCCTCCCTGTCGGAAGCTGGATTTCAGAATTGTCCACAATCTTACGTTTAAGACAAACTCGCACGAGGGCTAAGGCTGGCTGGAATTTGAGGCCCAAGGTGACTCAAACAGTGCCACGTGACTGGTAGCGCTCTTGACAAGTTGGCGTTCTCTTGGCCTGTGGCTAAGCAGGAGATAAACCTTTGGGCGAGGGTCGTTGGGGGGGAGTGGGGGGGGGGAGGGGGGGTCCTGTAGCTCAGTGGTTAGAGCACTCGCTTTGCAGAGGGCGAAACCTTGGGCAAGTTTCCTTACTCCACACAGAGCCTAATAATAATCCCTCCAAAACCCAAAACAATTAATAAATTGGTCATTTTCAATCTACGACTGTTTGTGGGACATTGCTGTGCGCAATTGGCCGCCGCGTTCGCCCACAAATATACAGTCAATTCACTTTACAGTGTGTTCTGTGAAGCGCTTTGGGACGTCCTCCCGACGTGAAAAGCGCTATATCAAATGCAAGGATTATTATTATTATTATTATAATATTATATTAAGTTGACCCATTTTTGTGGAACGGTGATAAAATTAGCAGCTGTCAAGGTGAGGTTTCAGGCCCTGGCCACGGAGGCAGTTTGGAGCATTGCCATGAGTTGCACTCGACCATCAGGCGAGGCTGATAGATCCCGACAGCCAAGGTTAGCGATGTGCTTGAGTCTGAACATGCAGACTTGCCTGCCAGCTGCGCAGACAAGCGATCAGAGCTTCACAGCCTGGCTCAGTCGGAAGAGCTTTCTCTCTCTCTCTCTCGCGCCTCGGAGTTGGAATAATGTGCATTCAAGCCCCACGTCGAGCCGGGATTTGAACCCACCAAATCATATTATACGTGTGAGTGGGAAAAGGATATTTTTTTTAAAAATCCACGCCCGTCTGATGAATTGGAATGGCCTCCTACGTCCATATCTTAGTCAACGCCAGGGTCTGTCTGTCGGTAGTGATTCGTACTCCTTCCGTTGATAACAGTGCCTTGTCACGCCGTCGAGGCATCTTAAAGCGCTTCACAGAATACGTTGTGAAGTGGATTGACTGTACTGTGTGTGCGTCTGCGGGTGAAACACGGCGGCCATTTACGCTCAGCAGTGTCCCACAAACAGTCGTGGATCGAGCGACCAAATTATTTTTGGAGGGATCATTCCCCCGGCAAGCGATCCGCCAATCGACTAACAACCGGGTTCCTGCTCACTGCGAGTTTGAGGGTAGAGTCTGTTACGCACGTTCTCTTCGGTAGGAGAGCGGGGGAGCCTTCCCCCCCACTCCTCCCCCCCTGCTGGGGGAGACCGGGGTCTGCGGGATCCTGTAACCAGAATCCGCTTGCGAGAGATTCGGGCCCCAATGAATCTGCAAATCAAGCCTGCGGTCGGTCCATCTGGATGCAATCGGAGAGTGGGAGGCGTTCCTGGAACAGTTTAAAAAGAAAAGGGCCCTGAGGTTCCACTGCAGCTGGTCCTTATTACTGAGAAATTCACAAGGTCAGAGAGACGGATCCTGACATCGATTTTGCCACTTGCCGTTGGGGTGTGGGGGGGGGGTGAGGGAATGGAGTGTCATTATGGGTGAGTGGGGGGACTAGTAGATGTGAGAGATCAGCAGTGTTAGCCATTTTGTTATTTATAGAGTGGGGTGGGGGGGGAATGTGGATCGAGCCCGGTAAAGTGACAAGCCACTCGAGAACGGTTTAGGCGTTCGACTACAAAACACACTGCGCGGTCACTACACTTGCCCCGGGAGGCGCTTGGAGATGCCGCCCTGAAATCATTCGTGACCCGAGCTCGCTCGCTCTCTCTCTCCGTCTCTCGGTCCTCGTTGCCAAGCGGCCGGTGACACAGTCCACCTCTCGCGTTTGACGCAGCGTCTTTCGCGCCAGGGAAGACGCCTCAAAGCGCTTAAACAGGATTGGAGTCCTGTAGTTGCGGAGCCTCGCAAGCGAAAAGGACCCGGGTTCAATCCTGGGACGGGACGAAACCTTAGGCAAGTTTCCTGACCCCTCAATTGACTGCTGCCTTTTCGCCCACAAAATACACAGTCAATATGCTGTGTGAGGAAGCGCTTCGAAACGTTTCAACGACGCGATAAGGCGGCTCTCTCGAATACACGGATTATTATGATTATGATTGTTACTGCGGACAGCGCAGCGACTGTGTACTCAGAGGCGACCGGGGGCCATCCTCGAATATCTTCCCTAAAAAGGAAAACAGCCGATGAGATGAAACGCACTCATCTCGTCTGCCTGGACGTGTGGGTGGATTTTTCCTCAAATACTTGAACAGATTCCAGCTGAGGACGGGCAACTTCTATGAAACCCTATCCCGGCTCCTCTTCTTATAACAGTGATTCGATGGGGGGAGCTGGGGAGTGAGGGGTGGGCTTCACTGTGTTTTTCTCACTCACGGGGTGAAAGGCGCTGTAGCAATGGTAATTGGGTGTCGCTGCTCGTTTTGTCTCCCCAGGGTTACCGCGTGTCCCGACAGACGCGGGACATTACGACCTTCGAGGATCAGGAGGGCTCGGGGTTGGATGACGACGATGAAACCGTCTACTCCGGCTCGGGATCAGGATGTGAGCCTTCTTCGTTGTGTTTTTAACCGTGCTTCTGAGCGCCCCCCCCCGCCTCCCCCCACCGCCTCCCCTTATTCTTGCGGCACCGGGAAAAGAACCTTTCAAGTCCGAGCTCTCTCCCCACCACCCTCCCCAGTCTGTGCTGCTCTCGTTCCGTCCTCGCCGGCTCTCCTCGCAAATTAAGTCGCCGAGCCCTGCTTCAAGAGGCTCCGTATCTCAGCAACGGCTGCTGATGGTCAGCAGCTGGGCCCGAGCTCCTCGGCCTCGCGATGAGGGAAAGCGGCTTCTCCACAAGACGCGTTTCAACCCCAGGGACAATGCCATAAACCCCCACCACCCCCAACCTCCATCCCCCAGCCCACAATGGGACAACTTCCCCCCCTCCCCTCCCCACCTCCCCCGCCCCCAACCCCCCTCCGAGGTTCTCTGCCTTCCGAGTATTCAAACCAGACCGAGGGTTCCTCACCTGCCACCTCCACGTGGAAGTCTCCCCGTGGTCGGGAACACTCTCTCTCACTCTCGCTCTCTTTCCCTCTATTCTCTCCGGAGGGTCGCACTCTCCTTACCTCATGCCAGAAATTTCCCGGTGCAGGTTGGCAGGAGCCAAAGCTCATTATTATCATTACAGTTCCTTTCTCATGAGCTACTCGTAGAATAAAATTCGGCGGTTCATGTCTCTTTACAGTTATTTTTTATTGATCATTTTGTTTTTTGGGGGTTTTTTCGCGAGCGGGCGAGAGAAACAAGGTGCGATGATTCTAATGCCCCGATGGATGGTCAGGAATAACACAGAGTTTCTTTCTCTTCCCCCCCCCACACCCCCTCACCATCCCCCCCCTCCGCCCATGTTTCAGACCCCGACAGCGAGACTGAATTGAGGTCGACCACGGACGTTGGGTGGATGGTGACCTCCTTGCCATCAGTCTCGGTCTATAACTCGGCCCAGCCGTTTACCTTTGCCCTTAGCCGGGCAGCGAAGGAGAGGGAGGGGGAGCAGAGCACGGCCATCCCAGGGACATCGGCCCCCACCGGCTTCGCCACCGCGCTCATCACCACCACAAGACCGGCTACAGCACCGGCCGCCTCCACGGGGGGGCCTCAGGAACTGACCACCAACGCCGGCACCGACGACTTTTTTGCCTCCGTGGTGCCGGTAACGACCGGGGTGACGGCGATCACCACCAAACGCAGCCCGCCGGACGCCAGAGGGACGGCGAGACCCTCCGCCACGGCGGCTCCGCAGACCACCCCGGCGACCGAGGAGACCTCCACCGCCACTAGCATCAGCAGCAACAGCAGTAAAAGCCTCCTGGTCGTCCCCAGCACCACCCAGGTAAGCCCCGCCCAACCCAGCGCCAAACAACAACAACAACAATAACACCTCCCCTCCCCAGAGCGCCAAGCACCAGCCAGGTAAGCCCAGCCCAGCCCAGCTCAGCACGAGGACCACCCAGAGTAAAGCCCCCCAAGGGGCTTCGTGAGTGAGGTCCTCGACACTACTGGAGGGACCGCGAGCAGTGAAGCGCCCTCCTGTGCCGGATCACACCTACTGCACCATTCCCGTCGCTCCACTGGCGTTTCAAAGAGGCTTAAAATTGCATCTAGTGTTAGGAATGTGGGAACGTTAGGAACTGCGTGGCCGCAGTGCGCGTGTGCGTGTGCGTGTGTGGGAGGTACTGTCCTTCGAGATGAAAAAAGAAATGAGCCGTTAGCTGTGCTCCTACAGGTTGGCGTTAAGGAGCCCGTGAAGGAGAAGGGAGTTTTTCTCTCTCCCAGCGACCTGGCCAACATTCACCCCCCCCCCCCCCACCCCCCCGCCGGATTAAAATAAAATTCAGGGGGGATTGTTGGCCTCTGTGGGACATTGCTATGTGCCGCGTTTGCCTGCAAAGTACGCAGTTACAGTTCAAAAGCTGTCGAGCGTTTTGAGACGTCCTCCTGAACTGAAAGGCGCTGCGCCAAACATCGATAATTTCACAATAACCGTCGACATTCCCAAAGGGAATTTTGAAACATCTCCGGCACAGAAGTGGATTTAAATTTTGTAGGGTGGTGGGGGGGGGGTTTCTTTCCCAAAGAAAAAGCAAAGGTTGATGTTTTAATTACCCATGTTCTGAAACGCTAGGAACTCTTCTATTCACTTTCATTTCTTTTTCTTGTTAATCTTCTCGTTTTTATATGAATCTCTGTGGGGTTTTTTTTTTGCTGCAAGTGAAAACACATCTAATCCCAGATTACAGGCGGTGAATTATTGAAATTTGAAGAGCAGAGGACGTTTAAACGATCAGATTTGAGGGCCGTGTGTAAATGAAAGTTCAACGACCCACTCAGCGCTGCCTTGTTATCACAACAAGATGGATTTAATATTCCATCTCGCCCGAGATTCACTGCTCGCTCTTCCTCCGTCACTCACTCCTTTTTAATCTTCTTCGAAGCAGATGGGATGGGGAAAAAAAATGCTTCGACTGGGTTTTATCCCGGCCTCTGATCTCCAAGGCACATTGCTGTAAAAATATATTAAGCTTCCGATTAATGCTGGAGTGACTGTAGACTTTGCGAGATGTGCTCTGTCTGTGAAGGAAGCTTCTTGCCCACTCTCTCGATCTGTCTTCCCCTTGGAGTGAACTCGCTGTCTGTGGTCTTCTGACTCTGACTCCTCCAGATGGAGCTGAGTACCGCATCCTCCACCCATCAAGAAGCTACGAGCTGACTCACTTTGGCTGTTCCTCTCACTGCCGTCTGCAAACCTGTTCAGTGCGAAGGAACAAACGATTACGTGCGAGTGTGTGTGCGCGCACGTGTGTGTGTGCACCTGTGTGTGCATGTGCCGTATGTCCATAAGTGAGCGTGTCTGTGTTTACGTGTGTTTGGGCCTGTGTGTGTGTGTGTGCACGTGCATGGTGTGAGTCTTCAGTCATCTTCCCCCTCCCCAAGCCCCCGCCTCCACCCCTTCTTCATTCCAAGCACCAGCCTGGATGCAAACCCTCCACTCTCCAGCTCTTTGGGACATCCTCCCGACGTGAATGGCGCTACGGAAATGCAATTTGTTCTTTTTTCTTTTTTTTAACGTGTGCCCTGGATGTGTCCTGTGTGCGTACGTGTGTATCCGTGTCAGACATGGCTTTTGGTAGGGATTTTTCATATCCTATTATGCCATCCTAATTGTTCAAAATTCACTCTCCTTACGGTTGTTTGCAAGGCTGTCGCTGTGCGCAAATCGACTGCCGTGTTTGTACACGGTCTTTCCAGTAAATCAGTGAAGACGTCCTCCCGATGTGAGAGACGCTGTATCAAGCGTAACAACAACAATACAATTACATGTGCATATTGCCTTTCACGTCGGGAGGACGTCCCAAGGTGTTGGACAGACAGAGTTTCGGACCCCCGAGGCTGAGGGTCAGGATCGGGAAGGTTGGAGGGCGGGGTGGGGTGGGGGGGGGTGGAAGCAGGGAGATTGAAAGTACGGTCGAAGAGGAGGCTCTTGAGATGGGTCTCGAAGGAGGCGAGGGAGGGGGGCCGAGGCGGAGGGATTGCGAGATGAAGTTCTGGAGGGTGGGGGCAGAGCGGCGGAAGGCCCGCCTGCCAATCGTGGGGCGAGCGAGGTGGTGGGGGGGGGCGTGAAGCAGGCCGGAGCCCGCTGAGCAGAGAGAGCGGGCAGACTGGTAGGGGGTTAGGAGGTCGTACAGATAAGGGGCAGCGAGGCCATGGAGGGCTTTGAAGGTGAGGACCAGGATCTTGAACTGTATCCTCTGTGCGATGGGAAGCCAGTGGAGTCAGGCGAGGATGGGGGGGGTGATCGTAAAGATCGTGAATATTGTTGTATCATGGGGTGGGCTGTGGAGATGTCCATGGTATCACTTTCTGGCAGTGAACTCTCTCTCTCTCTCTTCCTCTCCTCGGCGCAGGAGACGGAATCGTGGGACGTGATTGCGGACACGACGGTCACTAATGAGGTGGAGGCTCCAGCGGGAGGGGCTCCGAGCGGAGATTTTGCCTTCAGTGACAACTCGGAGGGGAGCAACGAAGTGATCGCTGTCGTGTCCCAGCCCACGGACAAGGTGGCTGGCAAGAACTCCCTCCCGGGGGCGATAGACAATACCATAGACACCGACATCTCGTCGTCAGCCGCACAGTTGCCTCAGAAGAACATCCTGGAGAGGAAAGAGGTTTTAATAGGTAACCTGCGCTCTTTTTATTTCACCTCACCTCCACCCCTCGCACGCTCCCTCTCAGTCTTTGGATCACCGTCCGGGGGGTGGGGGGAAACAGCCACCCATTTAACTGTGTCTTCTCCTCCTTTCTCCCTACCATGCGAGGGGCTCCCCTTCTCATCCTAACGAGCCTTTGAGATGTTGAAACCACGTTTAAAATAAGCGCTGATTTAAGTTCGATGTTTTGCGGATAGTCCACAGCCGGGCGCAACTGACTGCCCCGTTTCGGCCACAAAATACACAAGTCACTCCGCTCTCAGTTACATTCCGTGACGCGCTTTGAGACGTCTCCAGAACGTGATAAGGCGCCGTACGTATCAAATGCAGGGGTGATTATTATCATTATTACTATTATTATTATCATTAATAATATATTTCCTTCCTTCTCTCCCCACAGCTGTGATCGTCGGCGGGGTGGTGGGGGCCCTGTTTGCGGCCTTCCTGGTCATGCTGCTCATCTACCGAATGAAGAAAAAGGACGAAGGAAGCTACACGCTCGAAGAGCCAAAGCAGGCGAGCATAGCGTACCAAAAACCTGACAAGCAGGAAGAGTTCTATGCATAAAAAAAAACAATCACCAGTGCCTCGAACTGTGAACAGATACTTCTTTTTAAATGATGAACAAAAAAAAAATTTACAAATTTACCCCACCCCACATACCCCCCCACCCCACCCTTCACCCCATGGCTCCACACGATGGCTAGAAACTTGTACGATTTCCACACTGTTTGCTTTTTAGAAGACAGCAGCACTACAGTAGGTTTAGTGTCTCGTGTAGATGTTCGAGTGAGTGAGTGAGTGAGTGAGTGTGAGTGTGTGAGTGAGTGAATGAGTGAGGACCGGGCAGGGCATTGCGAAGGCAGATAGACCTACCAGCTGGGAAGTTCTCCCACCCCCCCCTCGGTTTGCATTTCAAAGGAAACTTGTTAACCTCTGTTCTAACCTGACGCATGTTTGTGTGTGTGTGTGTGTGTGTGTGTGTGTGTGAACACAAGCAACAAGTTGAATCGTTGAACCGTCATCCAGGGAAAAGTGTGAAAACAACAGAGGAGTTCCCAGAGATCTCCCCAGAGAAGGGATATGGAAATACTTGTGTGTGTGTGTGTGTGTGTGTGTGTGTGTGTGTGTGTATGTGTGTCACACACTTTCCTAATGCAGCCTTCCCACTGCAACCTTTTTAGATCATCATTGCCAAGTGACTGTTCATTTCTGAGCAGAAATATTTTGTTCATCCATTTCCCTCCTTCTCTATCTCTCTCTCTCTCTCTCCTCCGTCTGTCTCTGCCTCTCTTGTTCTCTTTCTCTCTCTCTCTCTATTCTGCAATTTTTTTTAAAAGTATATATATATATATATCACCAATAGCCTTCATTAAATATTTACCAAGTTCACTGCTTTGAAGCACGTCTCACCGCAGGTTGCTTCACTCCATGTAGAAGCTGCGATTTTTTGAATTGGAATATTAACAGTGACGATAAATAAGAAGAATTCCTCGCAAAATCGTTTACTTAAACGTGTGCAAACATCAAACAGAGGTCAAGAGGGGCATCCGACAATGAGGCTCCTCACCATTTATTCGCCTGCCAAACCTCCACTCAATCTACCTCCTTCTCCCCCCACACCCCAAGTGCTCCCATCTTTTTTTGCGGGTGGATTAGTTCTAGGAATAACTAATGAATAAATCCAATTGCTCCCATTCCCACTTGGATATTCACCAGCAGAGTGCGTGACATTCTACGTTTTTCCTAAACTCAATCACTGGATCTGTGACCCTTTCCCTCAATCTATCCCCAGAGTTTGGAAGAAAGGCGGGGGTTTTAGGGGAAAATGGGTGGGGGGCGGGGTGGAATCTGCAGGATTATTATATATTCGATTCACTCAATTTCAAGTAGTATTTCACAGAATTTGGTGAGAACAAAGAGAACAGAAAAGGTTCCAAATCAAGGCCACATCGAAGAATTTGCCAAATTCTGGAGGCTTAAAAATCGAGTTAAGTTCAGATGCAGATAGAATTTCTCCCCATATGTGAATAACCCCCTCCATTTGTCAACATGAGAGCCACAGCATTTGAAAATCCACCTTTACTCGTCACAGTGTGTAAGGAGAAGCTGAGCATAATAATAATAATAATGATAATAATCCTTGCATTTGATATAGCGCTTTTCACGTCGGAGGACGTCCCAAAGGGCTTCACAGAACACACTGTAAAGTGAATTGACTGTATATTTGTGGGCGAACGCGGCAGCCAATTGCACACAGCAATGTCCCACAAACAGTCGTAGATTGAAAATGACCAATTTATTATTGTTTTTGGTTTTGGAGGGATTATTATTAGGCTCTGTGTGGAGTAAGGAAACTTGCCCAAGGTTTCGCCCTCTGCCTGGAATTGAACTCCGGTCTCTCGCTTGCAAAGCGAGTGCTCTACAGGAGTGTGCGGTGGCAATTTGGCTGGGACAAGTATAGAGAGATTTGAGATGAGCGAGTTAGACAGAAGCCCAGCTCTCTCCTCGATTGGAAGGTCAGTAAATGGATGATGGGTTTCAGAGCTGGAGAGTGATGCACTGTGTTTGTTGAGATCAGCAGAGCTGTTTTTATGATCTGGCCTTGACAGGTAAGGATTCACATCGCAATGACTTTATGCTTGTGTGGTTTTTTTCCCCCCGCTTTTATTGAGAGATACTCACTTTCCCCCCCCACCATCACCTGATGTCTCAGCGAGTTTATCCAGTGAGTGACTACTGTATAGACACTGTGAAGGTCTAGACTCCCTCCCAGGTCTTTGCTGAACTGACTGATTTCAGCAACAGACCCTACGATTTGGCCTCAAACTCCTGGGTTGAGTGCTTTTCAGTGCTGCAGTGATTTAACAACAATAGTTGGTGTCTGCATTTGCTCTAATCAATATGCTCTGTAGTTTTCCTAATGAATGGCACAATAACCTCAGAAAATATCAGACTGGTTACTTGGTGTCTGGCCCTGTATTTGTGCACAACAACAACAACAAATTGTATTTATATAGCGCCTTTCACGTTGGAAGAACGTCCCAAGGAGTTGGACAGTTAAGGGTTTGCACCCGAGTTGGGTGTTGAAATCAAAAGGGTTGGAGGATATGGTAGAGTGGGGGTGGAAGGTCTTGAAAGGAGGTGAGGGAGAGGCGAGGCAGAGGGATTCGGGGATGGAGTTCCAATTGGGGCGGGGGTACATGCATAAATGAACGCTGAAATACATTAGCTTTGACAAGTGCATCAATTTTGTCTCTGAGCTGCTTAAAGCTTAATAGTAATCTATCAGCAAGGAAAGAACTCAACTACGGAGTCTTTTTCCTGCTCGAACAGCCGAGCCAGCTGCCTTGGTAGTTTCAGGTAGAAATCCCTGCCTCCCCCCACCCCCATTTACTCTATGGCTGGTCTGATCGGAAGCAGAGACAACCTGCGAAGGGATTACAGAGGTCACTTTGAGTCAATCAGCTAACTAATGGCCGAGGTTTGGAAATGAGATGACCTGGTGTTTTGGGAGAGGAATCAGATAAGTTGAAGGATAAGGACTCACTTGGCCTTTCTCATTTCCTATCTCAAATTGACCGAACAGTTTGCATTGCTAGAATTTTTGGCCGGCAAGCAATAAATTGTTGATAGTCCATCAGTCACCCAGATGCTTGGAACTGGTGGCACCTCCAGCCGTGGGCATCCCTCAAACAGGAAATTGTTACCAATTTCTCCCATCGGGTAAAACTCTCGTCTCCTTTGGACGCCAAAGGATCAGTTGACCTGGTGGCTTAAGTGATTGGGGTCTCATTGTAACAATCAATGTGGAGTTGGTGGATTTTACTGCTTTCTTCCAATTGCTGGTGAAGTTTTGTTCTCGTTCAGTTGTACAGCCGGGAGGTCATTTAACCTGGGACCAAGGTATGCGGAAGGCAATAGACCAACTGACCAAATCCATCTTGCTTCCTTCCCTCTGTACAAGCACAAAATGACCTTGATAGCAGAGATCTGTGAATTGAGACAATCAAAAACAGAATGTGTGTGTGTGTGTGTGTGCGCGTGAGTGCGGACTGTGTGTGTGTGTGTGTGTGTGTGGCGGGGTAGATTATCTTGAAAAGGGGATGCATTTTCATTGCCTTTTTTTCACATAAAACCAATTCCCAGAGAGAGACCCAACTCACATTTCCCCGTAAGGAAGGTTGGACGATTGCCAGCTCTGCTGTGGAGGAATCCCATTGATGGTGAACACACAGTCACCTTGGGATGCTTTTCCCGCAACAGAAACACATTTACCTATCGCTTTCTCACTTAGCAATTCAATTGTGCATAGAGTCGCCAAGAGGTTAGAGAGATGGGTGGGGGTGGACTGTTAATAGCAAGATCCACTGTCGTTCTTTAGACTACACTGTTTCTAACAGCTACCTCAGTGGCTTAAGCGAGAGCTGTTACAATACGTTTATGACCCACTCACCACTCCCACCCCTCTCCCAAGAGCTCTACAGGGTAGATGGAGCAGCACTCAATAGTCTTAATTACGGTAAAGTCCTGATAAGTCGTCGCTCCAAGGGAAAAGGACTCAGTGGCGAGTTAGGCAAATGTACAAATGCATCAATAAATGTGGCCAGGAGCATGATGACTTAAGTTGTAGTGACAAGTTAAGGCAGGGTCGAGTTATCAGAAGTTTACTATAAAGTCAATTGTTGCCTAGTTGGACAAAAAAAAAACTGTACAGTATTGGACAGTTGAAGCAGGAGGTATAGTCGGGGAACATACTATCACTTACTGACATCAACGCACACACACACACACACACACAAAAACCGAATGGAAATTCACGCGTTTTTGTCTAATAAATCCTAACCTCTGGAAAAATTTATTCTGTAAATAAATAATAATAAAAAAAATAAATTTTAATGGCATTAATGTATGTCTTAGCGTCAGTGGCGGTGGCTGGCCGGGGGCGGGGAGGGAGGGGTTGTGGGGGGGGTGGGTGTGGGAATAAACGTGTGTTTGTTTGATAAGGGTTCCGAGCTGACAATGTGAGTTGAAAGGGAAATTGAAATGCCGCTTCCAAAAACTGGCACAAGTGTATCTCGTTCACGAAATGATTCCACCTTCAAAAGAAGCATGTAAATATTTTTAATAGGAAATATATCGAAATGTATTTCAGTCGTCTTGTATATAACTCTCTCGTAGACTTGTTAGTCCTTTTAAGCTGCGTAGTGTCTGTCTTTCCACTTTGTAAACTGTTTTATTCCAAGTTAAACGGCCACACGAGAAAAATTAAAAAAACAAAAGAGAGAAAAAATGTTGTCAGGCATCTGGCACTGAAATAGTTTTTTTTTTAATTCTACCTGTGCTGTGCTCATTTACGAAATAAAAGTAATTGGAAACCTCTTTAAAGTTGCTTTCCCGATGCCGCTGTGTTCTTTCGTGTCTCTTGTGCAGTCAGAACTGATCAGTACACCTACACTCACATGTACACTCACACGTACACTCTCACACACACACACACACTCTCTCTCACCCACAAACACATTCACACTCACTCTCTGTCCATCTCTTAAACCCCCTCCAATCACTCCTTTCCTCGAAGATCAGTCCAACTCATTCATTAGGAGTTGAGCTCATACAGCGTAGGCTGACACTCCACTCTCTCTTGTTTTCTCACTTAACCAGTTTGCCTACAAAATACACAGTCACTACGCTTTACAGTTTATCCTGTTGAAGCGCTTTGAGACGATTCCAAGTGAAGGATCATTGGCCTGGAAACTGGGGGAGAAACTTCACCTGTGTCTCACCGGCTGCAACACTCGCTTCAGTTAACAGCTGTGCCCAGCGCTTTGAGACATATCTCGACGTCATGATAAATCGCGGTAGCAAAAGGGATTATTTCAGTTAAAAGCTCTGGTAAATTAGCTGCACATTGTTAGTGTTTCGCATGTCGTCAGGAGGACAATAACATTCATTAATCCTGTGCCAAATATTCTGTACGTTCAGCCAGTTAACCCCAAATAATATTTCACTCCTAGGCTTTTTGCGCAACTCTTGCATAGTAACAGATGGATCATTTAATCTTAGTCAATTCGCTTGTTACTAAAAATACATTGTGTGGGAGAAAGATAGAGCAACTTTAACAACATCACTTTACACCCCTCCACCCCTCCCTCCCTAGATCCCTCCCCCCTGACCCCACCCTACTCCCCTCCCCCCAGCACTGCACTGGATGACCAGCCTGGACTGTGAGCTCAAATGTCTTGACGTAGGGCTTGAACCCACAACTTGCTGCTGCACCTGATG